TCCAAAATGCTGCAGCCAGAGTTCTGATGAAAATGAAAAAGAGAGATCATATCTCTCCTATCCTGGCTTCTCTTCGTTGGCTTCCTGTTAAATCTAGAATAGAATTTAAAATCCTCCTTCTCACATATAAAGCCTTAAATGGCCAAGCTCCATCTGATATCAGAGATCTGATTGTTCCTTATGTTCCTAACAGAGCACTTCGCTCTCAATCTGCAGGTTTACTAGTGGTTCCTAGAATTTCTAAAAGTAGATTGGGGGGCAGATCTTTTAGTTAGCAGGCTCCTCTCCTGTGGAACCAACTACCAGTTTTAGTCCGTGAGGCAGACACCCTGTCTACTTTTAAGGCTAGGCTTAAAACTTTCCTTTTTGATAAAGCTTCTAGTTAGAGTGGCTCAGGTTATCCTGATCTATCTCTATAGTTCTGCTGCTATAGGCTTAGACTGCTGGAGGACATAGGGACCCCTATGTCCTCCAGCAGGAGCTCGGAGCTCGTCTGCCTGGCTGTGTGTTTCCTGGATGGAGCCGCCTTTTGTATCTATGCTTCTTTTTCTATCTCTGCTTCTGTCTCCTTGAACCCCAGTGGGCCTCAGCAGATGGCCGCTCACACTGAGCCTGGTTCTGCTGGAGGTTTCTTACTGTTAAAAGGGAGATTTGTCCTCTCCACTGTCGCTACAAGCATGCTTAGTGTGAGGGATTGCTGAAGAGTCGATGAGTCGATGCAATCAGCTGGTTTTCCTTAGATAGAAAACTTTGAATCAATTTCACTGTAAGATCTGGTGAACTGTAAAGTGCCTTGAGATGACATGTGTTGTGAATTGGTGTTATAGAAATAAAATGAATAGAACAGCATACCTAACAAGTTTGTGGATACGGGTTTTTACCTGGAAAGTGTAAAAAAACACATTGGTTTGGGAAAGGAAGGCGCTTTTCTATATCTAAACCAGGCTTTTCATTTACCTGTTGTTGGTTTTTCCGTAAATATCACAATATAAATGCTAGAATCTCCAGAAAGTATAACATAATATTTATTTAGACAATATATACTAACTATTGTTGACAAAATGATGAGCTGAACCGTGTTTATTTAAGACCATGCATGCACTGAAGGACACAGACTTAAATCAGTTATTAGAGGGTAATGTTTGATTAGTATTTGCCAAATTGAAATAATGTTAAAAAAGACATTTTAGGGCAGCAGTGGTGACTGAAAATAAGGGGGGGAAATAGTTGAAGCTATTTCTTTCACAAACTGTATTTTTTGTATGTTTAAATCAATGTTATTTAGAGACTTAAATATCAAAACAATGATTGACTGAAAAGGATAAATAAATGAAAAAGGTGTTCAGTTCAATTACTGCAAAGCATTCCTTGCTGACTGAAATAAACAGAGTGAGAAGGAGATGAATAATTTAATTGAAATTACAAGTTTCCAATTTTTTCATTTGCAGCTATTTTATTCCCGATTTTTTGTTTTTCTTTTTTTTATGTTACAAATAATTGTTATCTACCACTGGATATTTCACATCCATTTCACATAAATCAGTTCATATCCCATTATTATATCAGTCTAGTAATAATTCAAAGGCTTTTCTACAATGAAATGAGTCCAGGAAAACAGATAAAAACTACAGATTCAACAGATTTGGACCCAGATATATTGAAACGGTTCAAAAAGTCGGCTTTTAGAAAATGTATTGGCATCTTAAGGACTCTTTTTTTTATTCAACATTCATCCAAATACTGAAGGTCAAGGAGAAATTTGTGCGTTTGTAAAGTTATATGTAAGTTTATAGAAACAAAACTAAAATCAAGGTAAGACTTATCAGGGGGAAAAACTGACCCAGAATAAATATGATTTTCTTATTTCTTTGTATTTGACTTTCAAGCTGTCAACTTGCCTCCCATTTCTAAAAGTAGAATGGGAGGCAGATCTTTTAGTTCTCAGGCTCCTCTCCTGTGGAACCAACTACCAGTTTTAGTCCGTGAGGCAGACGCCCTGTCTACTTTTAAGGCTAGGCTTAAAACTTTCCTTTTTGATAACGCTTATAGTTAGAGTGGCTCAGGTTATCCTGAGCTATCTCTATAGTTCTGCTGCTATAGGCTTAGACTGCTGGAGGACATAGGGACCCCTTTTTCATCATTCTGCTTCATTCTATCTCTATTCTCCCACTCTGCAGAATCTGTTAGTTCAATCTCTAACGTTCTGCTCTCTCTGCTTTTTCTCATAGTAGCTTCATCTGGTCTGTTCCTGTTTGGCTGTGACTCCATCCTGGAGAGAAATATCAGCTGTGCTGCTGCCATCAACACCTTTGTTTCTAGATGTTGGAGATTGGCCTGTTTTCCAGTGTAGTCCTGTTTCTCTGACTGTGACTAACTGGATGTGCTCGAAGCTCGTCTGCCTGGCTGTGTGTTTCCTGGGCGGGGCCGCCTGTGGAGCTGGTTGACAGTTGCCTTTTGTATCTATGCTTCTTTTTCTATGTCTGCTTCTGTATCCTTGAACCCCAGTGGGCCTCAGCAGATGGCCGCTCACACTGAGCCTGGTTCTGCTGGAGGTTTCTTCCTGTTAAATGGGAGTTTTTCCTCTCCACTGTCGCTACAAGCATGCTTAGTGTGAGGGATTGCTGAAGAGTCAATAAGCCACTCCTTAGAAAACTTTGAATCAGTTTGACTGTATGATCTGCTGAACTGTCAAATGCCTTTAGACATGTGTTGTGCATATAGAAACAAATTGAAATGAATAAAATTTTACCTGAAGCATCCATGAAAAGTAAAAAAAAAAAAAAAAGTCTACCTGGCAGCAACTATTTTAGGTCTCATGGTGAGTTCGGTAGCACTAGAACAAAGTAAACAATGTCTATACTTTTTATCTATTCTTATCTTTACATTTATGTAAAGCAAAGCTGTACATAGCACCTTTAACCCTTTAGAAGCCATCATGCAGACTTGGAGTGTGGTTCTATTTCATCAGCAAATAGCCCATCTGCAGGCAGTAGATGGACATCATATAGTAGTGAGTTCGTAGAATAGTAAAATAATCCTCAGAAGCTTTAAAAGCTTGTCCTGCTCCGACCACCCACCAATTTTAATAAATTTGTATTAAACATCGAGGCTTTCCCACTAAAGTAATGCTAAGTTTTTTTCCATTTTCTGGTACATGTCCATGTTTCTACACAAACCATTTGTTGGTTGTCAGGGTTCGGTTTGGAGACGGCGATGCAGACCCAGACTGAGGAAGCAGGGTGGGGAAAGAGATTAGGCAAAAAAAGCTAAGTAAAGATTTCTTTAAAGGCGGCAATGCTCACCTTTAGGACATGATCTCTTTGGACTCAGATCATATCTGCATTTACTGCGACACGCATGCAGACGACGACCTGGGTTCTGAGTTACGCTATCCTTTTGAAACCGTGCCGAGATCGCTTCCGAGCACGGTAACACAGATACCTGCTGAGTGTAAATGGCACGCTCAACTGAACCGGACCGTGCGAGACACAACCAAACCTAGTTAAACTGTTACTAGTTCACCAGTAGGATCAGTTCTGGCTCGGTTCTCAGATAACAAAGAGCACATGAGCAGACCGCATCATCTCCTTACATTCAGCCTCCGTAATCATAAAATTTCAGACATTCATAAAAATCCTATCTTCCCTACCGTGCCGCACGATTTCCAGTGATGATTCTGCTTTGCAGTGTGAAGAACCTCAACATCTGACCTTGTTTCCTGCGTCTGTATAACCTGACTCCGCCAGATGGATTTGCTCCGCATATCCATCTGGAAACCTTCCGTTGAAGTAATTTTGGGAAGGGGCGAAAATACTGGTTAGCTGATTGGCCTATGTTGGTGATAGACGGGCCAAATAAACCAATCAGATCAACGAAGCATATGACGTACTAACAGAGTGACGACGAAGATTAGCCAATTGATAGATCAAACTCTTGCCGAAACCAGTCGGGAGAAGAGCAAAAACATCTTTTCCTCTGAGAAAAGCCTCCAGAGCAGTGTTTTGCTCTTCTTTCAGTGAAGAAATACTCTGTAATTCCAATAAAACTTGCTCGATAGCCACTCTAACGCTAGTTTCATCGGCTGAAGCCGCCATGTTCTTTAGACTGAACTGTCGCGCTTCTCGTTGAGTCACACCTCAACCCGCCTCAAAGCCAACGCTGATTGGACGTTCGTTTGGTGAACGGCTCCAAATTTTCTTTAACGGAGAGTCTCCAGACTGATCTGCGAGTGAAACCTTGAAAGCTCGCAAGATCAGGATGGTCTCACGAGGCTAGCGTCTGTAAGCCCTGACTAGACTATAATTTGTCGAATCCACTTCCCAAAACCCGACTCTGTCAAGTAAATTCTGCCTTCTTCACCTGATTCTCCGCCAACAACGAAATATCTCAATTGTAACCAAACATAATCTCCTGAATTTGTTTCAGGAGGTTATGTTTGGCAACTGATTTGTTTGTTTACCTCTAGAGAGCAGTAGTACCATAGATCATCACTAGGAGGCGAGGAACCGTGCTAGTGTGACGTGTAAACGGTTATAAGGAACCAATGTCCGAACTCAGCACGGATCGGTTCTCTGAGAGTTAGTGGAAATAGAGCAACTGAATCTTCTTAATGAGATTAGTATCATGTCCCATCCATTCAAATCACTTAAATAAACCAAAACAGGGTTACAGCCACCAAAGCCTCTGAGGATTTATACTGCTCTACCAGGACTAACATGTCTCCGCTATGGCAGAGTCTCCTACTCCAGTGCACAAAAAGACACCATTCTTGATCTGTTGATGCACCGCGTTCCAACACAGGTGAATCAATCGAATGGCTCATATTGAATTATGGAAAATAAACCACTTCAGACTTTTGATTCGCGTATGTTGGAGGATCAATGCATCAATAAGATGCAGGACAGAAGTTTTAATGTGCTGGAGTTGGAGACCCCTGACTACATGTATAAAATAAGTCTACTTGTATTTCCCAGGGTGTCAGAAAAATATCTTTACATGTTCTCAGTCACTCTTGTCTGAATGTCCAACTAGTTTTTCTTTATTTGTAAGCTTGTGGTTCTCCATCCACTTCTTATATTTGGCCTTAGTTTTCTTGTAGCAAAACCTGGCTATGTCCACCATGAAGACCCACGCTAACAGATACATGACCACACCGCCGAGCTTCATGATCAGCAAAGTTCTGGGAGAGGTGAGCTCGCAGTAAAACATTACAGTCCCAACGCCAACCCGCACTGTGGCGAACAGTAAGATGAAGAGCAGGTCCACGGCGTCTCCAAGCAGACTGTCATACAGGCCCAGCTGGCGAAGGAACCAGCGGGTCTGCAGCAAGGGGTTGGTGAGCTCGCTGCCGAAGATGACCCCGCAGGTTTCACAGCCCGACACGCCCATCAGCAGGGACAGAAGGATGCCCAGAATGCTAGTGACGTGATGCGCCAGCATGACCGGCCCCTCGCTCCGGTAGCACATGCACCAACCCATGTCGAAGAAGAAGTAGCCCAGGCAGACCGCCAAGGCAAATACCTGGAGTTCAGTGTTTTCTGTTCCTGCAGGGAAATCACAAACGTTGAGTTAAACTCTTCTTCCATGTAGCTAATGATGAAATACAGCTGCATTTGTTAAAAACACTTAAAGGAATAGTACACCCAAAACATGATTAGCCTTCATTTTCTACTCACCCCCATGCTGAACAACACTCTGGAGTACTTTTTTGATATCTCAAATGCATCTGGAGATCTGGGAGGCTTCTTGCTGTCTGCTGACATTCAAATAATGGAGGTCTATGGTGCCCGAGGCAGAAAGGTCCATAAAAGTCCACAAAAAACGTGTCAATATTCCTCCATACTGCTCGTCCAATGTATTCCAAGTGTCCTGAGTGGGTAGCGTCCATAATTTACTCGAAACGAAGTCATTTAGAATGTTTTTAGAGCATAAACAGTAGTGTATTGGATTTCCTAAAAGCGCGTTCACGAGTCTACGGAAACCGCGGCAGACCAAACCAGATGAAAGTGCGCATTCAGCGTCTGCTCTGCTGATAATGCAAGCGTGGAAGACGAAATGTGCTGTTTACCTGTGCAAAGAAAGAAACAACGAAAGAAAAATGTCTGAGGACTTCAGTGTTGAGGAAGAGCATGAGTTCTTTGCCGAGCTGAATGCGCACTTTCATCTGGTTTGGTCTGCCGCGGTTTCCGTAGACTCGTGAACGCGCTTTTAGGAAATCCTATACACTACTGTTTATGCTCTAAAAACATTCTAAATGACTTCGTTTCTAGTAAATTCTGGTCGCTACCCACTCAGGACACTTGGAATACATTGGACGAGCAGTATGGAGGAATATTGACCCGTTTTTTGTGGACTTTTATGGACCTTTCTGCCTCGGGCGCCATAGACCTCCATTATTTGAATGTCAGCAGACAGCAAGAAGCCTCCCAGATCTCCAAATGCATTTGAGATATCAAAAAAGTACTCCAGAGTGTTGTTCAGCATGGGGGTGAGTAGAAAATGAAGGCTAATCATGTTTTGGGTATACAATTCCTTTAATGAGATGTTACTTTCTTATCTTGGATTGCATGGAATAGGTTTTGGCTTCTTAATCTGCATCCAAACAACTAAACTGGTTTCATGACTTTTTCCCTGCCAATAATTTCATTGTGTAGGAAGGTTCAGTGCCAGGAGAGCATGTTAAAAGTCAGCATGCTTAAACTGATTTAAACATTAGGGCTTAAACTTTAAAGGAGAAGTCCGGTCAGCAAGGAATAATCAATGGATCATTATTTATACTTAAAAGTAATACTTTCGTGTTGATTTAATGCATTTAGTGTTAATCAGTAAAAAAATAAAAACATTTTCGTCACAATCACTGAGTCTGGGAGCGGCCATTTTTGCCCAAATATAGTAGCCCCTCCCTCCTGCCATCTCCCAGCAGTGACGTCACGGTGCGGTAAGCCTAGCGCCATTCTCCCCGCTTTACAAGCTAAATCAATGGGAACTACTAGACACATCTGCAATCAACAACAATTATTGAAGATTTCCAGAGGACTTCACCATTAAAATTCACCAGAGCTATAGTGAAACTGACAATGCCCACGTGCATGGCAACTGGATGCTGGAATACAGAGGTCACAGATTTGCAGACTAGGGTCAGGATCCGGATCCACCTGCTGTCAAACCCGGAAGCCAACCTGATTTAAAGTGTTTAAAGAGTTCCAGGCTTTATACAGCATGCAAATTGAAACGACAAACCGGTCCATCCCTTTGGAATGAAGGTCGTTTGGGTTCTTTTGTGAGGCAGCAATGCCCCATACCTGTCTATGTCTCTGAAAGGGGTGATTTTAAAGGGAATTGTTGGCCTGGCTGAATAGGTGAGGCCCTCCGCTCTGCTGTACAGAGACTGGGGCTGCAATGATAGCGGGAAAGTGGGGTCATTAAAGGGAATCTATCATCGCAGCCCCAGCCTCCATACAGGGGAACAGAACACTTGGCCTATTCATCCAGGTTTCCGCTACTCTATGACCTCTGAGATAGAGGTTCTGTTTCTGGTTAGCACTGTATATTATTACAAACTGATATGAAATTGTCAATCTTCAAAACTAATAATAAACAAGCCTAAAATGATTTAACAATTCAGATTGTTGTTCAAAACACAACAAAATAAAAAGCTTAAAATTAAAACTGGATCCATTTATGTGAATTATTGCCAAATAAATAAAGTGTAGGTCAGAGGTCACGGATTAACGGACCAGGGTCCGGATCCGGACCCACCTGCTGGCTAACCCGTATCCAACCTGATTTAAAACATTCATAAATTACTGCATGTTGTCTGACGACAGTCAGTGTCTAATTTCACTTGCGCCTCTTCTCCTGTTAATACGGTAAAGCCCTGGGGAGCGTCCGGCTCCAGGCTGCACGTGATCCAAATGAGCCAATGAGCTGTCAGTCTGGGTTGCTGCTGCTGCTACTTTTAGACACAGCAGGCAAACCTGTGGCAAGCCGGGCGATGGGAAAGAAGGAGAAGACCATGAGAAAAAGAGAGCAGAGAAAGTGTGGACTGCTGGAAGAACTGCGGTGAACTGGTATGCTCAGCATTTGAACGCTGGCGAAGGTTGAAGGAACAGCAGCGGCTTCAAACCGATGCCGTGGTCGCTGTATTTTTTCTCGATAGGTGAGATACTAACTTTTTGTCTTAGTAGTATTTTGTGATACTAATTGGTTTCAGGAAGGATGATGCATTGATGTGTCACGAGCGCTCCGTATTGGCTTGTTTCGTTGTCAATCACCTCGACAGACAGCATCCGTATATTTAGTGTATTTTAAAAATATAACTTGCTGGAACCGTTTTTTTTCCTAAATCTCCTGGGGCACCTTTAATTAGAAACACTTATCATTTATTGAACAGTATGTAAGAATTTCATATTTAAAGTACTTTCAGAAGTTTGTATTCTGAATATGAAGGATTTTTCCTTTAAAGTTTGCTCCTTAATTGGCCTTAGATTAACTCCACCAGAAGATCCCTCCACCAGTCTAATAATCCACTGTTGGTAAGGTGTTGACTGCTCAAAACTATTCCACATAATCATAAATGAAAAACATAAACAAGCAGGAGAAATATTGCAAATGTCTAAAGTAAACAATCAAAAATACTTTTTTTTATCCTTAATTTAAGTTTCAGCAGTGAAGCAGTTCATCTGTATTTACACTGGAAAAACAATCTAGAAAGAAGTAAAAATTTCTTAAATTAAGTTAAATTTCCTTTTAATTTGAGCAGGTAGATAAGATGATCTGCCAGTGGAATGAGTATTATTGTTCTTAAAAAAGTTCCGTAAAAGTTGGTTTCCAAGATTTGAAGACGTTTCGCCGACTCTCCAGGAAGCTTTCTCAATTCAATTATCTTAAAAGAAGATAATTCGATAACATGCATTTGAAAGAAGACAATGGAATTGTTTTTTTTTTTTTTTAAATGTAAATTATCTTATTCTATTAGCAAAGTGTCTCACTTATCTCCCTTAAGTTCAAGAAAAAAATACTTATTTTAAGAAACCTTATACCTAATTTTTAAGAAATATTGACTTATTTAGCTGGATGGCCTCAAACTTTCTGAATCTGAATGAAAGTAAGACAGAAATTATAATGTTTGGTTGTAGTCCAGCAGTTTTCCCCCCTGACTTCTTGGGCCCTCAACAGTAAAAAATCTAGGTGTAATATTTGATCACAGGTTGAAATTTGATCGCCAGGTTAGTTTGGTCATAAAAAACAGCTTTTATCAGTCAAGAATTTTATCAAAAGTGAAAGGCTACCTGCCACACTGCAAAAACAATCTAGAAATAGGTCAATATTTCTTAAATTAAATGTATTTACCCTTAATTTGAGCAGGTAACTAAGATGATCTGCCAATGGAATGGTTATTTTTACTCTTAAAATAAGATAATTAGATAATATGCACTTGAAATAAGACAAATCAATTGTGTTTTCTTATTTTAAGTGTAAATTGTCTTGTTCCATTGGCAAAATGTCTCTTTTACCACTTATTTTAAGAAAAAAATACTTATCTAGATTTAGATTTTTTCCAGTGCACAAAAAGATCTGGAGACCGTAATCTATGCTTTTATCAATACAAGATTAGATTACTGTAATAATTCTTTCTATGCTGGCTTGGACCGCTCACTTTTACAGCGTCTGCAGTTGGTACAAAATGCAGCTGCCCGTCTCCTTTCTGGCACACGTAAACGTGACCACATGTCACCTGTTCTAGCCTCATTGCACTGCCTCCCGGTTGTTTTTAGGATAGATTTTAAAATTTTATTGTTTGTTTTTAAAGCTCTTAATGATCTAGCCCCCCAGTATTTGAGCTTCTTCAAATCGATGCCCCGGCCAGAACACTGAGATCCTCTAATCAGCTGCTACTGGCGATGCCTAAAACCAGACTAAAAACTAAAGGTGATCGAGCCCGCAGCATCATCAGGGACTCCTCACACCCCGGTCACCATCTTTTTAAACTGCTCCCATCTGGGAGACGTTTCAGGGCAATAAGGACAAAAACAACCAGACTGAAAAACAGCTTCTTTCCTAGAGCTGTTGTTGCCCTGAACGACAGTAACACACTGCAAAAACGATCTGAAATTAAGTAAAAATTTCTTAAATCAAGTGTATTTAGCCTTAATTTGAGCAGGTAAATAAGATAGTTTGCCAATGGAATGAGTATTTCTACACTTAAAATAAGTAAATTAGATAATATGCACTTGAAATAAGACAATGCAATTGATTTTTCTTAATTCAAATGTAAATCCTCTTGTTCCATTGGCAAAGTGTTTCATTTACCTCCTCAACTTAGGATAAAATGAACTTATTTTAAGAAAAAAATGACTTATTTAGATTTACATTTTTTGCAATGCACTGAATGTAATATGCTACCTCACGTGCAATAACCTGTACCCGCTGCCTCAGTATCCCCTTTTTTTTTTTTTTACTTTTTCGTATTTATTTTTCTTTTAAATTTACACTAATTGCTTGTACTGTTTTTCTTTTTGAGAAATTTCGTTGCACCCCTGTGGAGCAATGACAAATAAAGAATTCTGATTCTGATTCTTCTGATTCTTTATGGCAGCGAGACTCTGGAATAACTTGCCTTGGCATGTTAGATCAGCAGGCTCCTTTGAGGTTTTTAAATCCTCTTTAAAATCACATTTCTTCTCCCTGGCTTTTAATCATGTCAAGTGGACATTTGGCAAAATTTTATTTTATTCTAAAATGTATTTTAATTGAAACATTTATCTTATTCTATTTTTATGTGTTTATGTATTTTAGCCTTTAGCTTTTATCTTATGTTCCTTAACTGTGATTCCTGTACAGCACTGTGGTATAAATAAAGTTTGAGTTGAGTTGAGTTATTTCCATTTCCATTTTTTGCAGTGTATAACCAACTGTTTCTGTATTTATCGATTCTGAATCTATAGTTTTTTGGTAGGATTTTTTATTTTTGGCAATCTTAAACAAATATACATGCATAAACACAACAATGTGATTAAATTTGCACGGTGCACTGTGCAGGACATTTTGGTTAACACAAATTCTTTGTGTTTTTTACAGTTTTTTACTTATCTGTGAATGTTTTTTTAGGTTTACTTGGTTACAGGTCGGGCGGATTGAACAGAATAATGACTGTTATTCTGTCATCCTCTTAAAAAAATTACTGTAGCAGCTTTTATACTCTAAAGCCATCTAAAACCACCTGAAGTCCTCTTTAAACGGAAAGAATCAATATAAATTTGTTTTCGTTTCATTGTTTTTAACTAAACATCAGCCATGTTTGGCAACAAACTAAACCACACCCTGATAGTTTCTATGTTTTGCAGAGCTGACCTGCATGTGTGAACGGCCACGGACCATCCACAAACACAACGTATGCAGTCAGCAGCACTATGACGACCCCGTGGGTCAAAGTGACCAGGCGGCAGTTCCACTCAGGCCCTCGCTGAGAGAAGGCGAAGCAGAACAACAGGTAGAGACACAGCCAGCCAATCAGGCTGCAGATCACCTCCAACGCAGGCATGGCGGCGTGGACGGACGGACGGATGGACGATGCTGGCTCTACATAGAAAAGAATAGATTGATCAGTGGGAATGTTTTTTCAATTGTTTTAATGTTCCATTTAATGATAAGATGTTTATTTCAGGCCATCTAAGATTTTTCTATCAAAAAATGTTAAAGGAATAGTACACCCAAAACATGATTAGCCTTCATTTTCTACTCACCCCCATGCTGAACAACACTCTGGAGTACTTTTTTGATATCTCAAATGCATCTGGAGATCTGGGAGGCTTCTTGCTGTCTGCTGACATTCAAATAATGGAGGTCTATGGTGCCCGAGGCAGAAAGGTCCATAAAAGTCCACAAAAAACGTGTCAATATTCCTCCATACTGCTCGTCCAATGTATTCCAAGTGTCCTGAGTGGGTAGCGTCCAGAATTTACTCGAAACAAAGTCATTTAGAATGTTTTTAGAGCATAAACAGTAGTTTACAGGATTTCCTAAAAGCGCGTTCACGAGTCTACGGAAACCGCGGCAGACCAAACCAGATGAAAGTGCGCATTCAGCTCGGCAAAGAACTCATGCTCTTCCTCAACACTGAAGTCCTCAGACATTTTTCTTTCGTTGTTTCTTTCTTTGCACAGGTAAACAGCACATTTCTTCTTCTACGCTTGCATTATCGGCAGAGCAGACGCTGAATGCGCACTTTCATCTGGTTTGGTCTGCCGGCTTCCGTAGCGTCGTGAACGCGCTTTCAGGAAATCCTATACACTACTGTTTATGCTCTAAAAACATTCTAAATGACTTTGTTTCGAGTAAATTCTGGATGCTACCCACTCAGGACACTTGGAATACATTGGACGAGCAGTATGGAGGAATATTGACACGTTTTTTGTGGACTTTTATGGACCCTTCTGCCTCGGGCGCCATAGACCTCCATTATTTGAATGTCAGCAGACAGCAAGAAGCCTCCCAGATCTCCAGATGCATTTGAGATATCAAAAAAGTACTCCAGAGTGTTGTTCAGCATGGGGGTGAGTAGAAAATGAAGGCTAATCATGTTTTGGGTGTACTATTCCTTTAACATTTCTTTGTGCATCTTGAAAATAAACGCAAACAGATCATCTTCTAATCTAGTTGGTCAGTTCCTGTGGTGCCATTAAACTCCGCCTCCACATTCTGCATCAGCTTTGCTGCAAGTTCACACTCAGTGGTTATTAATAACTAACATGAATGCTGGAGAAGTCAAAAAATATCTTAAAATGATTAGGCAATTATCCAATTTATAGAAAATAAATAAACGGCTGACTTAAAATCCCGGTTCTATGTTTTTATAAGACATGCTGGAAACATAAGGCCAGTGGAGGAAGGTGTTTAGGCCAAAATGCTGTGTGTGTTTCAACAAACTAACTGCTCCTAGAGGGCAGGTACTATCAGAGCTGGTGTCTGTCAGTGTGCAGATGTGATCCAAACAGACTTGCAGCTATTACTGCAGCAAACAGCAGCTTAATGAAACATTAAATCAGGGGGAGTGAATACTATTGGAGGAGTTTTAAAACCTGGGATCATTCTGCTTCCACTAAGCAATAATGCAGCACTTTGTTTTAGTCTATTGCATAAAATCCGACTAACATGATTATAATTTTCATGACAAAAAGCACCAATTATTTTGTTTTGCATGAAAGGAAACATTTCCATAAATTTATTAACATTCCGTGCATTTAAAAGATTTATAATATGACTACCTTGCATCTTAAAAACTGCCAAAATATCAGTTCTACTTCACACTGACTTCATCCTTATTTTGTGCATATTTTTTATCATTATTTTGGCAAAAAATGTTTATTTAAAAGTAGTGTGACTGACCTTAGCTCCCTGCGCTCTCAGTTCTCCCCAGATCCATGTTGTCCTCAGTTTTCCTCAGGCGTCTCCAGCCTGCAGCCCCGTTCCTGTTCCATAAAGGCACAATAACAAAGGCTCCACCAGCAGGTCTGGACCTGACATCCACTCAGTCTGCTAAGTTGGCAGAAATGCCATGTGCAGGCCACCGTAGACAGTCAGTATATCCTGAATCCCTGGCTCTGGATCTCACAGTTTATCCTCTTAAGGGATTAGATCCTCTACTTCTCGGCGCGGATACCTGCTTTTAGACGGGTGATATGACCCTAATGGTGCTCAGCCAACAAACACATTTTACTGGGGAAGAGCCCCTGATCTATAGGTTGATTTATTTTCACAGGTCTATGTGAAAATAGATCTATAAAACCATTTAACCTAATCTTTGCATGTTTATATGGAAAACCTTGCCTATGCACTGCAAAAACAATCTAGAAATAAGTCAAAACCTCCTAAATTAAGTTTATTTACCCTTAACTTGAATAGGTAAAGGAAATAGTTTGCCAATGGAATGAGTATTTTTACTCTTAAAACAAAATAATTAGATAAAATGCACTTGAAATAAGACAATGCAATTGTGTTTCTTATTTTAAATGTAAATTGTCTCGTTCCATTGGCAAAATATCTCTTTTACCTCCTCAATCCAAGAACAAATGCACTTGTTTTAAGAAAAAAATGACTTATCTAGATTTGTACTTTTTCCAGTGTGCACTTGCTCAAAACTCCTTCTATTCCTTATTTGTGCACATTAATTATGTTTTTGATAAAAATCCTTTCGCTAAAATGCCATCAGAATGCTTATAATATTAATTGTGTCTCAGCCCCCCCCCTTCAGTGTCCACCATATTGGATCAGTCCATTTGCTGCACATGTTCAGAAAGGTCCAAACAGACAGCAGCAAACCATTTGAAAACAAACCATGCAAAGAGCAGTGTTGCCAACTTAGCGCTTTAGTTGCTGTATTTAGCCACTTTTCAGACCCCTCTAGCACCCTGATTTCTAAAAAGCTCCTAGCGCCAAATTTAGAGACTTTTTTCTGCTACTGGAGACTTTGGAGACAACATCTAAAAGCAGCGAACTCTGCTCTCCAGAGTGAGTAGATTGGTAACCCCGCCTCCTGCTCTCCTCTATCTTGTCTGCTGTCATGATTCATGCAGCTATTATTTCATCCAAATGAAAAATGGAGAACAGAGAAGCAGATCATGGCTTGTCTACAGTGAAAAGAAGGACTGGGTTATTTACTTTGGCCTTTTTGGAAACACAGGAAGGAGCAATCAGCTAAGTGAGCTTAGTGCTTGGAAAAAATCTTTCATTCCTTTAGAGACAGCATGAAAAGTCAGCTGAGTACAAAACATAGAGAGGAAAACAAGAAGAAAAGGGACAAGAAGAGAGGGACACAACCTAGAACAGATAATGGATGTCTATTCTATTAACATTTCTCTATCTGTAGAATGGGTCTGTTTTATGTGTTGTCTTCTCACTTCAGAGGGCCCCCTGCGTGTCTTTGCCTAGGGCCCCAAATTTCCTAAATCCGCCCCTGCACTGATCTGTGTTCCTTGGGTTTCATGAAGCTGTTTGTTCTGTAACTTGTCTTAAAAAAAACTGTCAGGGTTTTAGAGAAATTCATCCTACCATAACCAAAAATCATATGTTTTAAAATGTCTATAAAGCCCTAAATGGACTTTGGTGGAAATAAAGTTTCTCGTCAATTGAACCTTGAATTGAATTTGAATTATTTCCTCTGCAGCTGTGCTTTACACACAGGTTTTGTCATTCTGCATCATTACTGATGCTACTGATTTTTAGCAGTTTGTTTCTGTTCTCATGCTCTTCTGACTGTTTTTCTTTCTTTTTTTTTTTCCACGTCAGGCCACGTCTAAATGATTTGACGCTTAATCATGAGTGAAAACAAATTTTACTGCACTTTTGACCAAAGAAGTCTCTGAGTCATATAGATTTTTAGCATTTCAAGTGCGGTGTGTTTATCCTGACGCAAACGGAAATAAATAAACTGGATGTAAAAATTACAATCAAATGCTCTACCGCTGCGGAAGAGAATTCTGGAAGGCTTGAAAAGTCACTCTAGGCAGGACTCAGGTCAACGCACCAACAGAAGCATCTGCAGAGCTGAGTCAGGTGAGGAGTTTCCACATGACTCACCTGGCATCTCATTCAGCCTCTGTTGAAGCAGGCGGATCAGCTGTTAGGTGAAGGTCAGGCTCTCACCTGACTGACTCCACCGCAGCATTCATTCATTTTAAGATCAGCTTTAATCCATAAGAGCAGAATGTTTCCGTTGATTGTGCAAAGTCAGCGCAAACGTAGATCTGCTCACTGAATTTTATTGCTTCAAATGCAGTGGATATACATAAAAATAAGAATTTCTAATCTCTTAAGTGAAACATAAATATTTACTACAGAAATGTAGAAATATAGAAGAAATGCATTGATTTGTTTTCTCCTTTTTGCTTTCCATCCTTAAGGTTTCCATCGTGGGATTTGTTATTCGTGCAACACAATGCCTTTTTGTTGCGATTTGTGTTGCCACATTTTAAAACTGTTATATTTTTGTGTTTGATGCAATGCCATGAACGGTATTTTTCGGTTAAGTTTTTGTCCTTAAATATCTCTCTCCTTTTTAGCTCTGAGAATTTTTTATTTGGTCAGTTAATTTTGTTTGTTTCACCAAGAGCCTTATTTTATAACTAATTTGACATTAATTGTACATCAGTTTGTTTATATTTGTTTGATTTTGTTATTTTCACTGAATGTGATGTTGATATGAACTTTATTTAAGTTATATTTTACATTTAGAGTGGTAACATAAAAATGTTTATAGCCCTGTTCTGCTATTCAATTGAATAATAATAATATAATGGTGAAGATTCTCAGTCATCCTGTTCATAATAATTGAAGACATTTATATTAATAATAATAATAATATAATCACAAGTAATATATAATAACAATATAATAATAATAATAATAATAATAATAATAATAATAATAATAATAATTTGTATTATTGTTATATTTATATTGCTTGTGATTATATTATTATTATTGTTATTATAAATTTTTATTATGAATAGCCTAGAGTCGAGGTGTCATATCCTCCACTCCGGCAGGTGGCGATGTGCTTCCTGGATGTAACCAATATTTACAATGAGGGGAACTGTACCGGAAGCGTGTGTTTTTTCTCTCGTTTAACTGAAATTATTCGATAATGACCGTTACATATTTTATATCTTTTTGTCTACTATAGACCGTAGTCATTTTTATTTCTATTTTTTAAGCCGCTGGAGGGAAATGATCGCTGTGTAGTCGGTGCAGGTGAGTTCAGACGCTTTTTTAGTGAAACGTGGAGTGGTTCGCGGAACTTTATATTTTTTTCTGCCAATTTAATAATTTTTTCAAATACTCCCTATAATATAATGTATTTTAACGAAATGTATGTTATGGGATGGATACATAGGAGCCGTACTACAGTTCGGCGACCATGTATTACATATTTGGGGTCACTTGGCATGACTTTTTTACTTTTGAAAACATCATGTATAGGTTAAGATATTTTCCATGTATTTGAGAGCTAAAAACTTTAAACCAACAACAGGTTTGATGCTTAAATGGCAATCTATTTTGTTTGCTATTTTTAATACATCTAATTTCTTGCTATCAAGATAAATTGAAATTCTTATAAGCGATTTTAACAGTTGTTTTGTTGTTTCCCAATGACAAAAACAAAATGCAATTTAAACCAAAACATGGAAATTATCCTTATTCATACATTTAAAATATATCAACTCTAACTTGATTCCAACAATAGTTACTAAGTACTGCTGAACCAAAGTAACTGGTTACTATCCAGTGTAACTATCCAGTTACTTTGATCTTAAATGTCTGAGAATAAAATGTTTCTTCTGATCAGAACTTTAGATACAACTTGATGACTGATGACGGGTTTGTTTAAAATAAAACAAATTAAATGTTTAACAGCTTTTTATTTTCACACATTGGCTGACTTCAATCAGATATAAAATAGGCAGGAAGGAGAAAAGTAAGCTATCATAAATAAAATAGAACATGCAATACAATTAAAGAGAGATTAAACTATTCCAGACATAAAATCAGTAGAACTTTATAAATTCCTGTATTTCTGTGTAAAATAAAATTCAACTATAGATTTGAATGAGAGAGAAAGTAAAGAGCATCATGTGGGCAGCAGCTGTCAGTCAGTGCTGAGATGATGTGAGCTTCTTCAGATCAGTTTAATTCAGTTTATTTTTATATCGCAAATTCACAACACAGGTCATCTGAAGGCCCTTTACAGACACAAAACTGTCAGACTGGGAAGGAAAACCAGTTGATTGCATCCAGTCATTGGCTTGCAGGACATGCTCCTCCTGGATGAGCCTACCGTGACGATTTTTAACTGAATTTTGACGTTGCCTCTTCAGCAATCTCTCACACTGAGCATGTAGCGACAGTGGAGAGGAAAACTCCCTTTGAACAGGAAGAAACCTGGTACATGGCAGCAGATTTTTATCTAGAACTTCTCTGTACATTTTCCACTCATCATCCTCCCTTCAATAGTTTAAAGTTAGCTAGAACCATATGCTGAAGAACAGCCCCACACCATGATGCTCCCACCTCCAAACTTCGTTGTGGCTATGGTGTTTTTAGGGTGAAGTGCAGTGCCCTTTGACCTCCGGACAGGATGTCTGTTATGTTTTCCAAAGAGTTCAATGTTGGTCTCATTTAACCAGACTATATGAACTTCAACATCATGGATCAAAAGAGGAATATGGAATATATTAAATAGAATTATTAGTAAAACGACCCAAAGAAATTATAATCAATATCTTTTCAGCAACAGTAGAATTATTGATGATGTGTCTGAAATGGTTGAAAACTTCAAGTATTTGTTAAACTTTTTCCTAAAAATGGCAGAAAGGAATGTTGATCCTGGGACCAGATAGAGCTGCAATGAGGTCCTCATAACTCAGAATTTCTCAGAGTAGTGGAAGGGGGAGAGATCTTAACTGTTGTTAATAAATGTAAAAATAAACGATCCACTGATTATGATGACAACAGTGAAAAGATGCAGTTAAACCTCTGACTTTACAGACTAAAGGAAAATAGCAACTAGGGCTGCAACTAACGATTACCGTATTTTCACGACCATAAGGCGCACCGTACTAAAAGGCGCAGTCTCAGTTATGTGTCCCATTTCTGTATTTAACACACACATAAGGCGCACCGGACTATAGGGCGCGTTTTTTATATACAGCTACATGTCCTCTACTACCTTTAAATACCTCTACTGCGTATTTAAAAATACAGCGGGGGCAAAACTGAGTATGACTGTGCTTTATTCATGTATTTATTAAAAAGTATTAATCAAACCTGGCAGCTGGCCGTGAGACAGACACATCGCAGATGACACAGAGCGCTGTGATCACTCTTAAATTAACTTAAAATCCTGAAACCTGCCGATGGAATATGTTCGCTTTTATGGGTGCCTGCAGTTTAAATTATTTAGATGAAAAACACCTGCCATCCACCGCGTGAACCCGGAGGCTGCCCAGCCTAGAGGCTGCTGTTGCAGGGATTTCTACTGTCGGTGCACCGCTGGTATGTGGGGGTCTGAGCGCCTCCGACAGAAATAGATAATCTGGATGAACTGACTGCAATTATTAAGTTTTCAGGTGGACTTTCTCACTTAAAAACATATTAAAACTACTTTATTCCCACTGACCACAGCAAATATAGCTGCAAGATTTAGATTATTTAGATGAAAAAACACCTGCCAGCCGCCGCGGTGAAGAGGAGGAGACCCGCCCAGAGGCTGCTGTTGAATTAAGTTTTCAGGTAGAAAAATAGAGCGGGAGCAAAACTGAGTATGATTGTGCTTTATTCATGTATTTATTACAAAGTATTAATCAAACCCATCAAAGTCATCATCCTCTGTTTCTGAATAAAACAGCTGCGCTAAATCAGACATGCCAGTTTCCCCTTCTTCGCTGTCAGTCACTTTCCGTGCAGCGCGGCTCCTCAGAAATAATGCCGGCTTTTGCAAAAGCTTGAACAACAGAGCCAGCAGACACGTTAGTCCAAGCATCTACAATCCATCCGCTAAAGGTGGCGTAACTTGCCCGGCGCTGCCTTCCACTTATCATGAAACTGTGGTCTCCGTCTGTCATCCATCGCTCCCACGCCGCTCGCAGCCTTACTTTGAACGGCCGGTTCACACCGATGTCGAGCGGTTGAAGCTCCTTTGTCAGACCCCCCGGTATAACGGCGAGCACAGCGTTAATTTGATTCACCTTTTTTTTTCACATTGGCTGTGAGATGGGCACGCAGCGATGGTGATGCGTGGAAAAAAACACCTGGTCTCCTCATACATCTGCCTCAGCCACGCTTTCATCATCTCCTCATCCATCCAGCCTTTTCCATTTGCGTTAATATCATATGTCATCAGAGCGCTGTGTCTGTCTCGCTGTCAGCTCCCAGATCAGCTTCTCTGATTGGTTGATGCGGCGCGTCCAGCAGCAAAACTTCAATTTTTCCATCTCGAGCAGCAGCAGCGCGTTGGCAGATGCTTAAACGCTCCTGCTGCTCAAAACGCGCTGCAGGACCTTTTGCTGCACCTATACGCGCGTCAACCATTGACTTTGCATGTAAACTCGCTGCTTCTGCTGCACCTGCTGGGTCCGGTTCACACCGATGTCGAGTGGTTGAACAGCGAGCACAGGGTTAATTTGTTTCCCCATGTTTTTCACATCAGCTGTGAGATGGGCACACATGGAGTCAGATTAACAGCGATGGTGATGAGTGGAAAAAAAAACACCTGGTCTCCTTACATTCAGCCACTCTTTCATCATCTCCTCAATGAGGTGGTCTCAAAAGTCGCAGTTACAACACACATAGGGCACACCGCACCATAGGGCGCACCGCACCATAGGGCGCACTGCACCATAGGGCGCACTGCACATTTTGAGGGGAAAAAAAGACGTTTAAGTGCGGCTTATAGTCGTGAAAATACGGTATTTTAAAAATCAATGAATCGGCCGATTATTTTTTCGATTAATCGATGAATCAGACAAAAAATATTTTTTATATTAACCTCTTTTTTTCCAAAATAAACATTTTAGACAGAACAAACAAGCACACAAGTACAGGTTGCTCATTAACTGTACTGGTGCAATATGAAAAATAAATGTTTGTGTTAAAACTACGCAAACTTACATGAGAAATGTAGCTGTACATCCACAAAATATAGGGTACTTTGTTTCATAAAGCGCAAAAAAAGACATTTTTGTTTTTAAAAGCCCCTAAGGGGTTCAAACAATAGGCCCCCCCCATTTCAACAAATGAGTTTTTTTTAGACTAGAAGAGTTCTGCCTTTTAAGACAGGAAAGTATAGCAGTTAAAGTTCCTACTTGAGAAAATACTGAACCATAGAGATAAAAATAGCCCTGTGATTCAAATTATAAATTGTATTTGGAATAAAAAATGAGAGAACTAGGGGTGCTAAAAAACACATCCTCCAAAGACAGATATTTACATGGGAATGTGGCAGATAATTAATTGACATATTTAGGGCTGCAACTAACGATTATTTTAAAAATCGATGAATCGGACGATTATTTTTTTGATTAATCGATGAATCGGACAAAAAATATTTTTTATATTAACCTCTTTATTCCAAAATAAACATTTTAGACAGAACAAACAAGCACACAAGTACAGGTTGCTCATTAACTGTACTGGTGCAATATGACAAATAAATGTTGGTGTTAAAACTACGCAAACTTACATGAGAAATGTAGCTGTACATCCACAAAATATAGGCGACTTTGTTTCATAAAGCGCAAAAAGAGACAGGCATTTTTGTTTTTAAAAGCCCCTAAGGGGTTCAAACAATAGCCCCCCCCCATTTCAACAAATGAGTTTTTTTTAGACTAGAAGAGTTCTGCCTTTTAAGACAGGAAAGTATAGCAGTTAAAGTTCCTACTTGAGAAAATACTGAACCATAGAGATAAAAATAGCCCTGTGATTCAAATTATAAATTGTATTTGGAATAAAAAATGAGAGAACTAGGGGTGCTAAAAAACACATCCTCCAAAGATAGATATTTACATGGGAATGTGGCAGATAATTAATTGACATATTACTGATCTTGCTGGATTTTATTCTGCTTTACTTCCATAAATTGCAGGATCTTCTTTCCTTTATCTTTGCCAGAAGATTTAAACTTTAAAAGCCTTGCCCTCATAATTTGCAAGTTAATTTATTTATAAAGGCTATTTTAATTATTGTGATCAATTTGC